TAATTTAGCTCAAATTGACCATGAAAATATAAGCATAATGTCACTTTAATGCCTTTTTATAGGAATAAATATTAATTTATTTATATTATTTGCGTATTTTAATAATTAACAAATCTCACATTTACGGGTATATGTACATCCACATATGGATCACTTAGAGGAAAAAGAAACACGAGTGGTCGTTAACAGGGGATAGTCGAGTTTAGGACACCTAACACTATTACATGAGTCATCCTATTGATAACGTAACTAATACGTACCATCCGAAAAACAACACATATTTACACTTAATTTTGGTATATGCAAAAAAGATGTTCATTATCAAAAATAAGCGATTTTTTAAAAATAAAATAGCGTTTACTCAAGTATACAACTTATCTAATTATTGAGACAAATACAGACTGGTACTTAATCTAAATATTCATTGTTGGCAAAACTTAAAATATAAATGGGGAAAACTCTACAAATAATGCTTTTCAGGTTGTAAAATTATATTTACAGTTGTAAAATATTCAAGCAAGTGTCTTAAATAAGTTTTAAATATCTTGCAAGACACTGCTAGAATTTAAAATTTGATGTCCATTAGTTTCTTCTGTGCTTTATTTCAATATTTACATAGAATTACATATTTAAAGTACGCCATTTTGTATTTCTTAAATCAAGGCATTTTAAAAGTTCAAAACTAAATGAAATAAAATTCTTCCCTGGCTAACATGATATATTAAATGTAATAGATGGAAATCCACAAATATGATTATATATATTCTTTTTCTTTTTAAAAAATATGAAACAAACTACATGTATTTTTTCAAGAAAATGATAAAATAATATGTATCACTCGGATGACTTCGGAGAACAATAAAAGTATTGTATTTGTATGATTTCAAATTTATCGCGCAAAATTGTTCACATATTATCATATACATTAGAAATGTCACAAATATTGCCCGCTAGTTGAAAAAAATCGGATATTTTTCCTAAAAGTACAACATTAATATAATATATCTTTAAATTAGATCATATTCTATTTTTCTCAACGGAAAAGCCATAAATTTATTTCTTTACATTATATTATTATTTCATGAATGACTTATAATGTGCTATGTTTAATTTAAAGAAAAAAGAGAGATTTTCCTTCCTGTTTATCATCACTTTCAACAGTCAATATTTTATTTCTCTGTAATTTTCAAAATAATTATATTCGTTATTAAAATTTGTGAAAATTCATTTTTGACGTGAATATATTTGTTTGTTTTTTTTATGAAAAGCTTCGTACACATTTATACGCAGCCTGAAGAATATATAAAACATCTTAAATTACATAACGCCGACCTGAATAGTTTTCCCGCTGCGCAATCGGCATGGTCACTTTGTCGTCTGCTTTGTACCACGTGATCTATGCGGTGAGCCGTACAGACTGCCCGTCGTGAATTACGTAAAGCGTAATAAAACCATAAGGACTCGTATAATCATCGATTAATAAAGAATGTCAAAAGAATCTATGAAAATATGTAACGAATAAAACAGGATGGAATGCATGAATATATTAATATGTAAAACGTCAAACTGTTTCGTGAAGACCATCGCTCAGCGTGGACATTTTTGTGACCCACACCATGAATTTTGCCATGCATCCGGACTGTGTATCTTAAATGACATGTACACCTTGTTACCGGCATGACGTCACGTATTGATTTGATTGACGATAATAGAATATGCATTGTGTAAATGGTGATGATAATAATGATGATAATATATGTATATAATTATTGGTGATAATTATGATGATATAAATGATAATAATGATGCTAATGTTATGATGTCAACGCTTATTGTAATATCATCATTATTATCATTATTATTATGATTTTATTATTATTATTATAATCATTATTATTATTATTATTATTATTATTATTATTATTATTATTATTATTATTCGGAATAATAATAATAATTATGGTGAGAATCATCATCATCATCATAACCATTGTATTATAAACTTCTTTCTCTTCTACTCTATCTTCATCATTATCACCACCAAAAACCACATCTACTACCAACAAAATAATAATAAAATTATTTTAAGAGAACCATCATAGCCTTGTCAAACTATTTATAAATCATGAAAATAATCTGTTCGACTAATTGATTTATATTAATATTATATATATTTAATTAGTAAAAGTGACATCTGTACATAATACCCCTCAAATCGATTAAGTTATTCATTTACATTATACAATGTACATTTATGTGCATAGTAATCACAAACTTTTGTCTAAAACTAAATATTTTATTCAAATTTGAAATGTAAACACTATTTAAAAAATACTTGTGATGGCTGCATTATAAACAGCGTTTTCTCGTGATAATTATCAAGAAAGGATTCAGAGTATTCAACAATCCAAAGATAACTTGCAATCGAATAAATCAAATACTTGTAATATATAATATTGAAATTGAATAAATTGTTATGAATAAAACAAAACAAATAAGACTTGAATAAACGCTTAATATTAACACAGAATATGTAAATAACTTGTAATACTTTTATGTGATTTTAATTATTGTAAAAAATAATTTATTTCTTTTTTCAATCATATCCAGATTTGATTTTTAATTTAATGTACCTTTTACTTCTGTAAATATTTTAAGATTTTATACAGATTTTAATGTTGTATTATAACTTTATTGAATACATGTATATTACTGTTTATATGTCCCATGTATATATATATGAAAATGACTAGATTAAATAAGGATTTATAAGTAAAAAAATGAATTTTAATGTTTTGAATATTTAAGATGCTGAAATATTATAGGTCCAATATGCCTAAAATATGGTTTTTTATTTTTATTTCTCAAAAGCTTTTTATTTTAGGTGTCCTGTTGTACTATCCAAAAATTTCTTTATTGGCCAATTACCTGAACCATCTTTTGTTTCTGTTGCTTTCTAATTATACTGATTTAGTAATTTGTATGGAAGTCAAAATACTACTTTGTTAACATTTTACTACTATCATGACAAATAATTTCATTAACACTGCTACTTTCTTTAAGTGATACACAACTTACATGCTTTTAAACCGTTTTAAACCGTTATTTTAATGTTATAAAACTCATTTTTGCTTTTTCTAAAGAAGAATAAATTTTATTTTTTTCTGAGGCACAATATTAATTCGTTTCAAAATGATTCCTAATTGTGTCAAATTTGTCACTAGTTTATTCATTTCATACACAAATTAGATACTTTTATAGTTGTGTATAAATGATCATTTTAAAGTTCATGTATATTAAAAAGTAGCCTACAAAAATCCCCACAAAGTGCTGTTATTATTTAAAACTGAACCATTTTCAAGCAGCTCTATTTCCGTCTCTGGAAATCAGATTTATAACATTTCTATCAATACTTACTGTAGTTAATAAATGAAAAGTAAAAATATGTTTGTAAGTTTTAAAAAGTATATATTTTCAAATCAAAACTAACAAATAGCACAAACAAAATTTCAAACAAATGGAGATGGGACATGTATTTTCATTACTTACAGTCAAATAACTTTTAAATTAAAATTCATGAACTGTACGCGGTATTCACTGTCACAGTTTATACAATATAAGTCGACTTGAAATGCGCATTTGTTTTGAATGACGCTCCACATGAATTTACACGGTCGTGTTATTTCTTTGACCCTTTGATGACCAATAACAACAAAACACTTCCAACAGCGTCTAATCAACTAACGTTAACTCGAAACTAGTGACCACAATAAGTACTTTCCTTTTGTTGATGCTGAAGTAGTCAAGACAAAAGAAACGCCGTTATTTTCAAGTAGGTAAACGATAAATATGTAAATTAACATCTATCCAGACCGAAATTGACACATACGTATCTAATTAAATCCGTCACATCAAAGCAAGTTGCCGCCGACACTTGGTTTTTAAAAAAAATGCACATTGTCTAAAGTCATATGGTCTCACTTGAAAAAAGTTTAATAATTATTTCCGTAAATGAAAATGGTAGACATATTTTAAGATTGTAAACATTCGCTATAATTCCACACAAATTGACCCGTTAAAATGGCGTCCACGTGTGTTAACTAGCTGAAGCACATATTTATACATGTATATGTTTATGTTTCATTGAATGCGTGTAATTTATCCAAAATTTTAGTCACCCGTAGCAGAAGTTTAACATTATGGTCGTTGTAAGTAATAGTTAAGTTGAGTTTAAACTGTTTAAACTATTTCAAATGTTTTGTTCTGTTCACATAAAATGGCGCCTATGTATGTACACATTTTTGACCGTTGACCAACGAACCTGTAAAATAATCCATTCTGTTGTTTTCAGATATCGAATTTCACCTGTATTTAAAATTTTAAGACACTTTCGGAAAGTTTTTGTACAGTCTCTCGGTACATTATTAATGTTGTTTTGTTATATGAAATTTTAAATAAGTTTGTGTTAAATTTTATTTAAAGTTGATTTAAACAATGCATTTTATATATTTTAAAATCCACTTAATGTTTGCGTGTTCGTCCGTGTGAAACAAGTATAATAATGAGAGAAATGTAAATAGTAATGGTTTATGAGCAACGAAAAAATGATTCTGACATAAAATGAAAAATAACAAATTTATTAGCCAGGGAATGACCCCATTAAATAGTCATTAGGGCGAATGGGCAATCAAAATGTGCAGAAGATTTACTAGTACAAAATATCGGGTCGATTTATTACAAGTATGGAAGAGTCAGGTTGAGTATATCAAATCGCTTTAAAACAATGGGAATAAAAATCAATAAATTGTTGTAAATCAAGCGTATCAAATTTACAAAATCATTCTCAATAGACCACGGAAAACAGAATAAATCAAAATGTTTAACAATTTACCGTTGGAGAAGTAGTTACGGCCTTTTTATCGGGAAACTGTCAAATAGAATAGCGGATTGATTGTTATTGGCTGTTGGAGTCACGTGACCTGTCAAAGGCAAGATGGCAATGATAGTATAGCAAACATAAGAGTTGTTTTTAATGTTTAAGCGTCATGTTATCTGTAAATGTGATTGAAAAATGCATAAATTATACATAACCGCGATTTTCAATAGAATTAAACGAAAACCGGATCAGGTGGTTTTATGTATGAGTTTCATTTAGGAAATTAACAAAACGACGGTGTTATATTCTAATAAGCGAGGTGTTTTTCATTCGCTATATTATATTTTAATTTTTGAAGGGAAAAAAGTGTCATAAAACGTAAACAAACAGCTATGGGAGACAACCGGGAGAGTGGATTTATAAACAGTGAACCGTGTATCGCAGAGTTTATGACCAATGTCCCTCTCATTAATCAGGGACTAGCAAACTCGTCCATCAATCTACCGTCTGACGCCGGCTATTGTCAGTCATTTAATGGAGCATTGCCTAACTCACCTTCACGAGGGGACCTGGCGCTATCGGGTACGCCCGAGGGTACTGAACACAATCTTGGGGGCAAATATAACGACTATGCGTGGATGAAGGAGAAAAAGCCCATACGAAAAAGTGATCCTCCGCAAACGGTCCCAGATATAGGTAAGCACTTAAAGCGGCCGAATTAGTCGCATTTTAAAAAATAACTACCGTATAAAAAGTAAATCTACCGTGTTAGTAACACGTGGGTGTGCAGTTGTATTTGTGTCAGTGTATATGATTTATGAAAAAGCACATATTTGCCCTATATTTGGGACTAATTATTAAGAGCATGAAGGATGTAGGTCAAACACGTTTCTAATAGATTTACACACGGAAGCCGATCTCACAAATCATTTCAAAACTTTTGTTTCACGCTCAGTATCTATATTTAGTTGAACAAAATTAGAATCTGTGTGCACATATATTTCTTTATCAAAATAATATCCAATTTATCTGAATTTATTTTGTGTACAAAATGGCATACATAAATTACAAAATGAACACTTCTGGTGTTCTACAAAACACATTAGATTCAAGAAAAAAATCCTTTTGGATTAAAACAAACATTATTAAAAAACTTGATTGACTTACCCAGTTACTTATATGTCAAGAAAGTTAAATAAACATTTTTTAAAAGTTCTTATTATGTCAATAATCTCTGAAAATCAAACTTGAGCGCAAACAAACAGCACTTATTTTCTCTATGTGTCTGTGTTTGTAATTTTTTTTAATTTTCCACAAAATGCATTTTGTTCAGTAAATTTATTCATCTTTGAATTGATATTTACAAACTGTATTGCATAATTTATGTATTAGTGCCTCATTCTAACTTAGCAGTGCTATTTGAAAGATATATTGTACTTTCAACTCTTTCTTTATCAATAAACTCATTTATATATTGACATTTACTTAGATATACATAATGAAACTAAATATTGCTTGTTGCATAGTTCAACAGAACTATGATATAAAATAATGTGGTTCCCACTTGCATATTAGTCATGCTTTAATATCAATTCATATGAAAACAGTATGAATGCATAAAAACGCATGCTATAAATTATTTCATTGTTCTAATCTAATATGTGCACCCCATGTGCATAGATCTTTTCGTGTAGTATCTTTTATTTTAAACAAATTAATTATTTTAAATTGTGTCTTATTTTTAATGGTGTTTAATGCATGTGACATAAAAACAAGTTACATGGTAGTGGAAACAGGATATCAGAATTTTCCTTAGAAGTAATTTCTAGACACTCGTTGAAAGACCAGGGTTGTGAAGTGTATGTAAATTTTCTTTAACTGCATGCATATACATCAGATGGTTATATATATCAAATTGAGGTAACAAAATTGAAGTAAAAATATTCTATGTATTATCTATTTTAGCTACAAAACAAAAATCTATTTGATCAGTGTTGTTATGTCATTTTTAGGTGCTGAAACAAGGTTCAAAGCCCGATTTCTCTTTTCTAAAGGGACCCCACCATCATCACACTAATGCTGGAAAAACACTTTTAATGTTATGATATTAAAGATTCCACATATTTTTCAAACCTGATATGATATGGCAAATTCACATATACCATCTTTATATCATATCATTTAAAGAAATTCCATTACACATTTTGAACCAAACACTTTCTTATAATTAATCTCTAGGCTGTTTTATCATATATCTATATTTATTACTTCGAAAATATAAATAATTAACAGGTACATAATGGGTCAGATTGAAACATATTCTCTTAACGACCTAGTTTGTTTTTGTTTTAGTTATACAAATGTTTCTTGTTTATATACATAACTTACGTGCCTCCCACAAACGACCTACAGCCTAACTTGACCTACAAAACTATTTTTCTAATTTCATTTTGAAAGAAAAGGGAGAGAGGTCCATGCATTTATTTCATCAATGTCAGCGTATACTGATATAACCATACATTTGTAAAGTGTAAAATAACATATCATCCCCCATTCTTCGTCTATGATGAAACGTTTTGCCTTCAGGAGACTTCGAAACACGACTATGGTTTTATTCACACCTTTGTTTTTTGACAAATTATGACCCAATATGAAGACATTAGTATTCTTGAGGCATTATGAATTCACAAACAACCAGCTGTCCAATCTTCAGACAAATTTGACATCGCCTGTCTCTACGTTGATTTATGTGGCCAAATAGCAAGAGTTGACACTTTTTTTCTACACATAATTATGTATCAGACTAAACATCTATTTACATACATTCAAACGCTCTGGCTTCTTTTCACCTGAACATCGATTATATTCGGCACCACTCGGTCATAATTGATACACCAATTTATTATACTTCCGCTCTCTGTTACAGCGATAAAATGTTTGTCACTTTAAAATCTAAGAAAATTATAAAATTTATAATTCATGACCAATCAACTTTAAGAAAAAATATTTTGCTATATTTTCAAAAATAAAGATTCGATTGGAATTCGGTGAACGGTGAATGGGGAGTTACAGTCTGTAAAATGTAAAGGCGTGAAAATGCATGCAAAGCAATACTTACAAAATTCATTGAAAAAGTATCATAGAAATATAACAGAGGCAATAATTTGCCAGTGCCATAATTAAACATCCTCTGTTAAGAAAAATTGTAAATCATCCATATATCAGTTTATAAAATAATATCTTTAAAATTAATTTTCCAAATGCATGTATATCATTTGTAAAAAAGGAAATAAATGTTTTAATTGCTGACGGATTTAATTTCAAACAAATAAAATACAATAATCATAATTATATTCAGTGTAATATAAAACCTGACTTCAAAGGATGAACAGTTTCTAAATTAATGGTCAATAATTAGAAGTATTTCTGGTTAAAATAAGGCGGTGATAGGGAGGGGGTCGTGAAGATTTTTCTAGAAAGAAAGGAGCTTATTTTATCTTAATCATCATTTTAACATTGTTGCATGACACTTCAAAATAATACTTGTGTAAAAAAATGATTTTAAAAAATCCCTGTTAAAACAGTTGTTTAATTAATCTTTTACCTTTCCTTTTAAATAATTTCTAAACAAATGTCAAGGAAGTCTTTTGTTTTTATTTTACATCCTACAGGTTTACCTACATTTTAATAGTTTAAGATCAGGAAAATAACTAGCATTTAACAAATTTTCATTCATTATTATATTTTTTGTTGTTGTTAAGTAATGAGTAAGCCTGGGGATTTTAAACGTCTGTCTTTATGTACTTTATTCTTGTTTTTTGTATATTTATTTGTGTTTCATTTCTCTCTCTTTCTCTTTCTCGGTGTTTATTTTTATGCAGAATTAATGAATTGTCAACTTAACTAGAAATGTAACTGCCCCAGAGTCACTTTTGAATGTCATGTTATTTTTTCTAAAACTCAACCTTTGGTATGTTGTTGTCGGTGATTTTAATTAAAATTACAAATGCAAAATATCAACGCAATGATGATTCGTTCATGTTTCAAATGTTGAGTTTGCATAAAACCCCTGCGTGCTGGATGTTTTTTGTGTGTGTGTCTGTGTGTTTTGTTAATTTTATATCATGTGTGTGATTAGGATTTTGGTGTTCGCCCGACAAATTTCAGAATATTATCTTATTTACAGTATTTTCTCAAAATTTATTCCTCGTATACACAATCGTATTGTTTGCATTATAATAACAAGTTTAGGCAGGTGAAATAATTCTAAATCTTTTTTATATATTTCTGTTAAAAGTATATACGAATGCTTAAAAGTTTAACCAATTAAATCAAATTTACTTTGTGTATGGGGTCGCGCGATTTTTATTTTTTGTTTGTTTTAGAGTGTAAAATGTGTACGAGTATGTATGCAAGTTACTTAAATGACAACATATCATCAACATCTTCTTCTCCTTCTTAAAATTATTCTTCTTCTTTATTATCAAAGCATATATGCAGGGACGTTGAAATACATATAAATAAATAAGTCTCGCTTTTTCATAACCCATTTTTTTCAATACAAAAGTAAGTTAGTCAACATTCTGATCTTGTACATGCAATATAAAATATACCGTACTTTTATACACTTTACAATTCATCATTACTTAACAATTTTAATATAGATGTACTCTCCTAGGATGGCATAATATTGATGAGTAATTGATTTGAATACTTTCACCGTAAGATTGACGCTTAAACCATAAAGATTATATCATAGTTTTAGTACGATAGGTGAAAAGAGAAATCCAGTAAAATTTTTAACTATAATTTATCGTCCAAAATCGAATGGTTTATTTTATAATGTAACCGCCGCGCTAATGCATGTAATATCTGATAAGATGTTAATAATGCTATTTTTTATTTTCAATAAAAATGTTTACATCATTTTAAAATATCATGATGAAACTTAGTGAAAAAGGGGGGACTTGTCTGTGGAGAACTAGGCATGACTAAAAAGCAATTTAGTTGCAGACACCTTTTGTTTAAAGCCGTTGACAATGGAACTTTAAGCAAAAGTTCTTTTTGTAGATGTTTTAGCTTAAAGCAACAATAAACACTGTTTGATTGTGGGGATAAAAAGGATTAAGATCTGCTGCACATATAGATTTGTTTAGATATTGATAATTTTTAAATGCATTATCAAATATAAATCTTAAAATGCTTAAATTTGAATTAGAGTAAGTTTAAATTAGAAAGTGAATTGTGTTTTGATGCGTTAAAGTGAATAGGTCTTTAATGGAATGTCTGTGATATAATGAATAATTTCGTTGAAAGTATTTAGTATCAGACATAGCAACAAAGCTCGAAAGTACAAAACATGATCCGATATTAGAAATACCTAGCAGATAATAAAATGTTCTGAAACAAAATATTATTATTCATTATATAAATGTTCATTCTAAATCACTTAGAACTATATTAACATCTTTTTTTCTTTCACAAAACTTCACACAACTTTTTATAAAAAAATATCCAAATGATACATTTCTATTGCTTTTATCAATATTTGTAAAGATATATGGAAAATGTTCCCATTGTAGATCTAACCACTTTAAATACTAGTAATTACTGTGCTATTTTTAGTAACTCAATCGCTAAATTGTAAGGAAATTAAGCGTTTTTATTCAAAAATATGCTTTATTTACAATAGATCT